AACATTCCTTTTCTACCTACCTCAAATGAGCTCGGCCCATGTCTTCATACATGTCCACACAACCAGCTCTGGCCATCTCGAAGACCTCTCTAGACCACGATGGTGGTTGACTTGGCGGCTATCGAAAATAATGCGACTGTTGACATTTTGCTGAGACGCATGCCAAGGTAATATGCCTCACGGCAGATAGTCAAAGTATTCAAGCGCACTATGTTCACTATTCAAGAACTCATAAACTGACCCGCTGACGTGACACAAAAAATCGGCCACTGGCGCGGATAAGAATAGAACTATAATGCATAGAACTAACGTGTTTTTCAAACCGCTCCGAATGTTTGAGTTTTTCCCATGGAAGAAAGCCCACGAAATAGGGTGGTGTGTAGTCCTTCTTGACCAGCCGTAGCAGTGATCTGACACGTGCAAGAGCTCTTCCAAGGGTCCTTGTCAAGTCGTTATCCTCCCCAGAGCAGAATATGACGAGTCGCTTCGACTTCGTTACTTCGATCATCAGCTGTACAAGTCAAGATGGGGAACGATACTGTCAAGTCGGATAAAGGTCTGTAGTCCACAAAAAATGATCTTATTGGCTTTCTGAGGGAGCTAAAAAGTAGTCAAGCGTTGACGCACTTACTTCGATTATCAACACATTGCATTCACCGTTACTGAAGTGAACTCTTCATACACTCGTTTACTTTTCGCAAAGAATTTTTGAGCGGCCTGAATTAGGAAGGTGTGTCAAGCTCGGAGCAACTTCGGGAGTTCTAATAAAAGTGATAGGACTATTTCCAGAGGTTTGTAACGATAACGAAGCAGATATACTAAAACTCAGTTGTAATAACACAATGTACACGGCCACGACATTTAAATGTATTTTCCGTAGAGCGGCCTGGGCACCTTATCGCGCCTAAGTGACCTTCGTTTAGTTCTTCTTAAGAAGAGCACGTAAAAGTTTCGTCTTCGTCCGTGTACTTGGACGGCTCATGGTGATTATCAATCAGCGTTTCTTTTCCGTCCACCGGGTCTGCGACTTCAACGTAAGTGGTCTCATCCAAAGGACTTACCATTCAGAAAAGTAGCATATGAGCTTGTGCTGTCCCATTCTATTTCCATCGACGTTTGTTACTAGAAAATACAAACACTTTCACACCAAGTTGACTCATGTACAAAAATTCCGGAAGTCAAAAATTCCCCGAAATTGCTCCATTCCCTAACCTGTGATATAACAGCTGCATAACGCTTGCAAAATTTTGAAACAATGCTATATAAGAGTTTTAAAATGCAGGGCGCGTGCATTTTACAGGTAATAACGTGCACTATCATTGCATTTCTTTTTGTAATTTGCTAAAAATTTACGTGTGTAACTTCTGATTCTGTTTGCCCTACATTAATGGACATCATGCGACTAAAGTACTATTCTTTTCGGTTTACAAGATGAGCGAAATTCAGGTTATTTCCGGCGCATGAAAAAGAAAGTATGATCGTACATTTTATCAGTTTATTTGGCCTTGTGTTATGATGACAGTATGATCGTCGTTACCGACGATGTCCACCGTTTCCAACAGCATAGTGGATGCAGGGACGGTGACTTGCGTGTGAGTTAGCTTATAATAATAGCAGACTTACGTCGCATCTACCGCATTCTCTTTTTTTCCTCACCCTCCCGGACTCGGTATCATAACAAAGCCAAAAAACTGGAGGGGGATCGGACAAGTGGTTGGCACGAGGTGATTCTCCATCTACACATCGTTCTACCGTCGATTTCGACGATGTCCACTCTATGCTCTACAGCAGGGTGAAAGCAGGGATGGTGACTTGTGCGCAAACTTGCACAGCATCTGCCGCACTCTCCCCCCCCCCCCCACCTGGACCCGGTGTCAAGACATAGTCAAGAGGACCGGTGGCCGGGGAGGGCGCAGGTGGATGGCGCGATCGACACACCCCCCACTCCACACCCCCTGGTCAACACAGAAAATGGCCAGGTTTTTTTAACCAACAACAACAATGGGGGCGGCAGAGGTCCAGGCATGCGTGACGTCTGCCGGCAACGGGGTCTGCCAACGCACCCCCGAAATGTTGGCATTTGTTGTGGCGCGCAATCCGATAATGGCCCGGTGCTGGTTCAGCCCATCTACCACGTGGCCCGTTCGGGGGGGCTAATTCTGAATCTAAGCGTACTGGCACACACCCCCGCCCCACGTAAAGCATTTGTTATGGGTGTGCGGCCCAATAACAAGTGGCGGTCTCTGATTCGGTTACCGCATTGGTCCAACGCAACTCCTGTATGGCCAACGTACAGTTCACGATGCCGACTCGCATTTCTCCTATTTTGCATTGATACTTCTGACCTCAACAGAGTATATTTCACTCTGATACAACTGTGAAGAACTCGGTGCCTCGGTGGGATTCGAACCCACGACAACAAGGGAAGGCTTTAGTACAGCCAAGGCTCTAACCATCTGAGCTACGAGGCCCCACCGGAGGACGCGAGTTTAATTACATTTGGGTCACGTTTACCCGCCCAACTTACCGCAACGTCTGGAATCCACAAAATCTGATACAAGAAACTGACTGGCCAAGCAGTATTTCCTAAGTAATACATCTAGAATCCACCAGCTGACTACCAGGCTCACCTAATTCAGAGGTGTTCTGGAAGATTTAAAATAATTCACTTCATTTGTCCAGGTTTTCGAGGTATAGGCAAATTCCCCATCTAGTCTCGGCCATTTTACGCGACGCCACAAAGGGTGACCAGCAGTCAGGCAGTAACGTTTGGGTATTATTATCCGCAGAACACATGCCCCTTTCTGGCGGCCTCGAGCTTCATCATCTGTTCAGGCGTTTGGTGACAGCTTTCGACGACGGCATTCCTCTGTTCTTGCATGATGTAGCCGTTAGCGACAGTAGCATCAAAATTTATGCCGAGGTCTTCTTTCAAAGACTGCGCATCGAATTAAATTATTTCAACCGCGGTGGAACACTGTCTGTTTTTGCCCATTCAATATAAGGTTTTTTTATTATTTTCCCCAAGCAGACGTAATGACTGTGGTGGCACATTCCGCTTTATGTTGACAAGTATGCGCATGTAACGTTCTGACTAACTGGTCAGTTTTCAGCGCGAATATTGCAACTGAGAAAGCTGGTTCTGATAATTTAACGGTCTGTTCGCTAAGTACTTTTAAACGACGTCATAAAATTCCTTAAAAAGCTGAATTTTTGGCAGAAAACCCCTAAGAAACGCAACTACACATGGCTCAGCCCTGAGACTGGATGACCACGAACACAGACTTCCGACTGGCATCGGTATAAGACGTGTGGAGAAACACACTTCTTTGGCCTCAATAGCAGTGTTCAGTAGCACAGTAGTGGTGCTGCATTAAATTTCAAGCATGGGATCCGTAGCTTTTTGTTGGTGCATGACACTATTGCAAGAGTTTGGATAAACTAGTGGGAAACTCAGAGTTTCCAGCATTGCTTATATTATGCAATCCGGTCCTGAAAATGACTGCTTTAATTTCCGGAACCTATGCCGTGATCCATAGGCAAACCTCTTGAACCATTACTGTTTTGTGTTCTGGGGAAGCTCGGCGAAATAGTTTTCTGAACTTCCAGTTCGAGCACTTGTCCGAGAGAGAGAGTTAAACCGCAAACCACATACATATTTTACTACTTCTCTAAGCTCTCGTGCGATTACTACACAGCTATATTGATGAATTTGACAATGTTAAAACCGATCTGCGCCTTGTATTCTTGTAAAAAAGACGCCCAGTATCTGCACATGTGCACTAATGATTTCGTACGAAGAGAATTACATGCAGAGAAGTTGATGGAAGTGACACAAGATATCAGTGCTATCGATCATAATGGAGTCAGAGAATTCCCCAGTCGTTGAATTCAAATGCGCTTAGATTTCAGGATAAAAGGGCGGATCGAAAATACATAATCTATAACAAATTATGGGCGGCCAATGCTAATGGGAATGTGACTGGCGTGTGTGAATGTCAGACTCCATTTGAACGTAGATCCTGGGGCTTCAAACTCTCAGGTTGGACCTGTGTTTGATTCTTATTTTGCAAACATATTCTAATTTACTTTCACTCAGGGAGTGCAAAAGTAACTTTTCGAATGATTATTAGTTTAGGTAGAGCCTTAGAGCTAACTGATTGTAGTTATGCAGCGCGTGAGATGTAAGGGTGCCCATGCAAGGACAGCTGTGCACGAGTGGTAAGTCGCACCACAGCTGCTCCTCACGGTACCTAGCTGGCGTCCAACTCTCACATGTGGCTCTCAGAAGCTCTGCCTAGCGACCACAGCCCGGTAACCGCCTCGACCGGCGGGCTAAACCAGATAAGGGAACTTGGTGCTGTGTGTTCCCCACACCTTATAACAATGTTAATATTTGCCTTGCTTAATTTCCGAGGAAATTAATGCGCGAACTTGGAGTAACTCTTTCGAAACAGGCCTTTTCAGGCACGGTCCGAAATATATTAATATGTTAATATTATGTTAATATTCCGTTCCTCTCTTGCCCCTTACTTCCCGTCCCTTCCCTTTCACTCTTTCATCCCCCTTCCTCTCGTTCCCCTCTCCCACCTTCCACTTCAGAAAGCCTGTGGAGAGGGCGACATTTAATCACGTAGGCAGAGCAGGCCAAGTCGGGTAGCTCACCCGTCAAATCAAGCTGTGACCCAAAGTGGGGTTCGGTGGCCGTCCGAGATGTCTAAGCAAGTCCATTTTTGGATAGCACTGTTAACTCCTTGGTGGGGAAGGGATTAGAAAGGTGCTCTGAGCAAATGCTAGGAAATCAAGTCATCTGCTAGTATACCGTGGCTCGCAAATGCAAAAATTGCAGTCGAAAAACTACAATTAAAAACCAATTTCATCCCCTTCCCCTCCGTCTCACAGCACAGGCTGCCAAGGTGAGGGCGCTCACTCCAGCAGCTTAGAATGTTCATCATCTTTTAAACAATTCGAGGAGCAATCGACCGAAAGGGAGTACAGCACTCGTCGCTCAAGATCTGGCGTGGTACAAAGTGGACATCGCAGTTCTCAGCGAGACCTGCTTCTCCGAACAGGCCAAATTGGGGAGATGGGTACCAGCTGCATCTTCTCTGAAGCGGCCGCCCAAAGACAGAGCGAGGCGACGCAGGCGTCGTCTTTGCCATTCGAAATGACATTGTGAGACGACTGCCGTGTCTGTCGCAAAACGTCTCATGATTCTGTGTATGCCTCTTTAGGGATCCAAATTTTCCACCATCGTCAGTGTCTACGCCCACCAGTGACCAGCTGCAATGTGGAAGTCCTATGAAGACTTGCACGTTCTCCTGGCGACTGTGCCGAAGGTGGACAAGCTGGTTGCCGCAGTGATTTCAATGTCCGGGTCGGAACAGACTACGCTGTCTGGAGGGGGGTGCTAGATCTCAACAGAATCAGCAGTTGCAATGGCGACGGTCTCCTGCGGACCTGCGCAAAACACCGTATCCTCCTGGCCAACAACTCTTTCCGCCTTCTGATGCGCAAGAAGGCGCCCCTGAATGCAGCCCCCCCCCCCGATCGTGGCCCTGGCAGTTGCTGGACTACGTCCTCGTTCAGAGGCGAGGTCGACAGGACGTGTTGGCGATCAAGGCGATCTGGATAGCTGGATTAATCACTTTCTCATCTCCAAGATAAAGGTCCGAATACAACCTCGCAGGAGGACACAATCAGCCGAACCAGCGATTAGAGACCTGTAAGTTCCAAATAAAAACGCTTTCGTGGAGACTCGGTGGTGCCTACTGCGGAACGTGAACGTCGACAGCAGCAGGACCAGTTTTACGAAAACGAGTAGTCATCAGAAACCTGCTCTCCGGAAAGAACAGGCTACACAGGACCGACATTGGTTGCCCGACCGATGCAAACATAACGGTCATCTGTATATGTCACTGCCTTGTCCAACAACGGTTGCGGGAAACAAGGAACGCCTGGATGGCCTTAAAGATCGAGGAGATACAAGGGTATGAGAACCGTGATGGATCAAATAACCTCTTGGCGGCGACTAAGGCTGTCTACGGTCTTATTCAAAGGAACTGTCCCGCTTCTCAACATTGACGGATCAACCATTCCAAGCAATAAGTAGCGGACTCTGAAGCGTTGGGTCGGACACCTCTTTAATGACTTCAACCGTCCACCCAGGGTCCCAAACTTCCCATCGACCGGCTCACCATGTGGACCTTCCGCCCTTCCTTTCGAATGGCCATCCGCGTCGCGTAAAAACTCTCCGACAGGAAAACACCAGGCTCCGGAACGACCTCAGCTGAAACATACAAGCGCGGCGGTCCCCAGTTCATGAATCAACTCACAGCGTTATTCCGTGAGATGTGACTCCGAGAACCGGTCCCTCAGGATTTCAAGTATTCGACAGTCGTCCAGACCCACAAGAGCGAAGGAAACCGACAACTCTGTGATAATCACAGAGTTATGTAGCTTATCAACAGCGCAGGGAAATTATCCGCTCGCCTCCTCCTCCTCCTCCTCCCCCTCCTCAGCCATCTTAACGGCCATCTACAACGAGGATTCCCCCCAAGAAGCTAGTGTGGCCTCCGACGACATCATGCTATCACCGATATGAAATTCGAGGCCACCAGCCTCAAGAGAAGTGCCACCACCACCACCACCACCACCACCACCACCACCACCACCACCACCACCACCAACAATAAGGTTTCCAGGCCAACATGCCTTCATAACGACCGCATATTTACCTCAAGCATTGGCCAGGTCAATTACTAACGAGTCCATCGCACAGGGACTGTCGAGTCGGTATCAGAAGCACAACAATACATACGTCGTACCCGACGTAACCGTCCGTATTGTCCTCGCACGTTCAATCATTACATGGTTCTATTCCGCCACATGCGCATCCATAACAGCGGAACACACCGCGGTGCCGACACAATACATCTTGCACACCCATCAACACTCGCATCTCCAGCCCTCCCACCTACGCAACCACTGGTTAAGGCAGTACACCCCCCCAACTCAGCACCCTTCCGACTTATCCTGTCTACACTGCCACCGTTCCTTCGCCTCCAGCATCGGCCCGGTGGGTCACTGACGAGACCGTCGCACGGACACTAGCAAACCAGTGCCCGGGGCCCCTACATACATTCCTCGCATCCGGCTACATTGTCCACGCTTGCCACCTACATTAACTTACCACATGAGCCTAATTGACCGCATGCACATCCGTGAAAATCTGCGGTTATTTAACGTAGGACTTGACTACATCACCACACATTCTCCCCACCCAACTCGTGCATGACACATGCACTCAATCACCGCCATCCAGCGCAAACACCTGTCACGTAAATGATAAGTGTGTTCTTCGGCTCTTCTTCACGAGGCTCTTCGTCTACATGTGATGGGGTTTAAGTCCACGCCGTGAAAGCTGAGATCCGTGCCGCTGCCCCTATCCTCATGCTGTTGCCTTAAAATCCCTGCATGCGTTCGTTGTAGATCAGGGAGCTCGATGGTATGAGTAGGTGCGGATTTTCACTTTTCCTGTCACTTGCGTCCTCTCATACCTCCAGCTTTCTTGGTTCTGTCATGAAAACGAGCCCAGGTGGAAAACAGGAGGGCGTGCGGTATATGTAGCACTGATCCATGCGTGGTCCATGCGCAAGTCAGCCCCCTTGATGTGAAGCACGTAGTCGACATTGTCGAAACCGGCGTTCACAATACTATTTAGCTTGCAAAAGTACGCAGTGCAAGCACACGGTATACGTTTCGGGTAAGTGGTTAAAAACAGAGAAAAGCACTACTGGTTTTTCATGCTGTAGGCAAAAGATTTTCATTTGCTCTCTTTTTATAATCTCGCTTATCTTTTAAATCAGCAGCATTGCTTAATCGGTATGTCCAGACAAAGTCGACCAGACCACAGTTGCAATTTTTGGTCAAAGGACTGCTCCAAAAATGGACAAGCTTTTATGAAAAATAATTATGCACACGGTTTATCTTTGTCTCTAGTTTGTTGGGGGCCATGCGAAAAATAATCTGTAAGTATCCTTAGCAAGATAACGCCATCAGTTCTTCTCAAAAGACGTATTGATGCATTCAAAGTCCATAAAGTCTAATTGGAAACATTATGCCCACTGTAAGTGTACAAATTGGGTTTCAAAATATCGGAGAGTGCTGGACGATTGACGCATTTAAAATAAAATTGTCCAATAATGGATACCGGTTAACGATCAATATTAGCGGCAAAATAATGTATAGGGTTTTTTTTAATATTACGCAGTTATTTGTGAATTGAGATGTTTTCCGAACACTGACTGCGCTTAGCAAAGGTTTAAAACACGTAATAAATTTAGCCTCCCAGGCGCATATAAAATTATTGATAATCTAGTATATCTTGCAGTTAATTACTAAGTAACGTTTAGAATGCAGAAGTAGGCAAGGAATCGAAACGTTCTTATAGATGTTTTAAATTTCCTCGGGCTTAGAATGGTGACTAAGCCAAGCAAAACATCCAATCCTTTGCGCAGACACTTGTGTGAAATACAAAACGAAGCAATAATGTTATCGTTAGGCAGGATCTTTTCGTTGATGTAGACATAATTTCTTTTAAACAATAAACGTTAATTATTATGCTGGCTTAAACTTACTTAAAATAAATTCCGACCTAAATACTCAAGGTCAGGATCAAATTCCACTTACCTGCAGAAGGGTTTGTTGTAATTCCTCGAGGGAATATTCGTCTACTGAACCAAGGAAAGATAAGCAGACAAGGTTCTCTGAGTCATCGAATAATTTCCAGTAGTCTGTCAGCAACGTTATTACGCCGTCTAATATTTCTGGTTCAGACAGTCGCAGGTACTTTAAAAAATAAGATGATGAGAGCAGTTCAAAATTAGGTTCAGACGAATTATGATACGTAGATACGTATGTTTTGGACAACATACAAATTTGTATATTAATAGAAGGAAATCCATTCACCAATACAATTCTAATGGTGTTCACTATTTCAAATGTAGGAGCGAAATGTCGACATTTCGCGCCTACAAATCGACACACATGGATACATATATGTATATATATATATATATATATATATATATATGTTGATTACCACAACACTTACACGACAGCAGGAGGCGGTATTTGATGAGATATTTTTGAAAGAAATTTTTCCATAGTTAACATGTCCTCCCTCATTTCCGTCGTAACTTCCCTGAAGCTCACTGGAGATGAGTGACTCTTCGACAAATCTACTCGTCTTGTAAAATGTAATAGTATTAGAAAAAATTATTTACTGGTGAGGGCGAACGAAGTTTTCTTTGCTTGCGCTGTTTCTTGATATATTTTGCAATCACGTCCATGAAACCTAGGAACCGAAACCATAAAACGATTGGAATATATATTACGCATATATAAGTTAAATTCAATTTAAGTTAAATTCTACATTCTATGAGTTAGGTTAAATTCTATATATAATCTAAATTCTATAAATAAATTAAATTCTATATAAGTTTAAACTTATATAGAATTTAACTTATGTATAGAATTTAACCTATATATAGAATTTAACCTAACTCATAGAATATATATTAATATATATTAATATATGAATTAATTAATTCATATATATGAAACCCTTAACACGGATGAAAACGGGGAAAAAATACTTGAATGCTAAATGGAAGATAAGCAGTACACTGTGTCAATGTAAATATACCAGACAGGGCGGTCGCATGCAAGCAACGCAACAGCAAAAACAGAAGTGCAGTTTCAATAGACCTCTGAGTTTTACAGGCCTTTGACCTAAACTTTAATTAGTTAAAAGCTCTAAAACGGATGACCGCAGTCCGTTACATTAAGACATCACTTCCTAGCCAAATTCCATTTCGGTGCAAATTTTAAGATATGAAATTATTGTGTGGCCATTGCATCATTTGTCACATCTACATGCTGAATTAATTTGTACCGTCAGTTGACAACCTTACCGACCATAGGTTTGGGGTGGCCACGAAAATCTCAATGTAGATTTAGTTTCTCACACCATAAACTTAAGCTAAGGATGACAAGGAAGTTAATTTTTAAGTGGACACATAATGCAAAGCGTGGACCTCGAATCGGTTACGCAGGTACCTCCGCACAGCTATCGGGCTTTCTTGGTTGCTACAATCAGCCTAAAATCACATATATGTATGCTTAATCTGTTGCTGTTCCTCGACATATCAATTTCTGTAGGATTTGGTCAAATTAAGAATTATATACTTTATTATGTAAGGTTGACTACCATAAGTCACGTGCTCCAACCTTCTGAAAGATCTGCAGAATTTCTCAGTTTTAAATATCGGCTCTTTCTATACCGATGTAAAAAAAGTCATCAGCACGCGACAATCTGAAAAGGAACGCATTGAATGCCAGCAGAAACTTTTGGGCCGGATTTTAACAAATATTGCTATTTAGAGTTGCGCAGCTTCCTACCCGCAGTTTCGAAGATCTTAGAGACATTGACCAAAGATAAGATGATGTGTCACTTAACAGCGAACAACTTACTGAGTGTTGCTCAGCATGGATTCCTCAAAGCTCGATCTTGTGAGACCTGTCAATTCTCTTTCTTTGACTATATCTTCCAATCTAGGGACCATGGTTTTGCTCTTTACACAGTATCTTTCGATTTGACTAAGGCTTTTGACCGTGTTGACCATGCTCTTCTCCTCTTGAAATTGTCCTCTTTCGGAATTGGTGGCAAACTTTTGAATTTTATATCCTATTGCCTGGGCACTCGCACACAACGAGTTAAGATTTCCAATACCATCTCCAACCCCACACGTGTGAGGAGTGGAGTCATTCAGGGTAGTGTACTCGGCCCGCTTTTATTTTGCCTTTTCGTTAATGATGTGCCGGATTTATTTCAGAATGGTTAGCCTTTCATGTATGCCGATGATCTTAAAGTTGCATATCGATATAAGCCGGCAGATCATGACATCGTGCATGAGCTCCTAAAGAGCGATCTACAGGCTTTCGCCCAGTGGTGCCGCACATGGCGCCTTTCGCCTTCTTGGCATAAGTGCTCAGTCATGGTGGTTGGCGACGACCGCTAACCTCAACTAAGTATTGAAGGTCAAGCCATAAATGTGCCTGGGGTTATTAAGGATTTGGGCATATCATACTCCAAGAGTCTCAATCTCTCGGAGCACTGTGCCTTGATAGTCTCCAAAGCACGTAGAACGACCGGGTTTATCCTCCGAAATTTTAAACTAGGGACATCAGAATGCGCCTTTTCAACATGTACGTTAGACCTGGTCTGGAATACTGTTCGTTTTCATTTAGCCTCATGCGTGCTACTGAGCGGAAGAAAATAGAATCCGTTCAACACTTTTTTACCATGAGAATTTTAACCCCGGAACACCGACATTTGTCTTATCAAGAACGTTGCCGGCTTACAGGCCTCGATCCTTTATGGTTCCGTAGATTGCAAAAGGGACTATTTTTGCTATTTAAACTCTTATATAATCACACATTTAACCCACTCACCTCTTTAAGACATCATATCCACCCACGACGTAACAGTCACCGTGAGGTCTTTTTATTTCTACCTCTGGCACGTACTGTTAAATATCGTCGGTTCTTTTCTGTAAATGAAATTGCTATTTGGAATAAACTACCCATGAGTGTGAAAACTCCGCAAAATTTTCCTTTATTTAAGAGAACTATTACTCGATTTTTGCATTCAGAAA